ACACACACACACACACACACACACACACACACACATACATACACTTTTAAGGAAGGAATAACATAGGGTGGTTGTAAGAATTAAGATAATGTGTATGTCTCCCAACCATAAATACAGAAGGTGACAAAAAAATGTATCTACATCTTAAGAAAGGAAAAAACTTTATTAAAATTTTAATACTCAATATATACCGAAACACAAGATAAATGCAAGTCATGTGTATACATTTTTTGGGTACTGTGTGTGTGTGTTTGTGTAGTGCCTGGTATATTATTTAATACATAGTATATATTCAATAAATACGTAGTAACATTATTATTTTTTTATTTATACCCTATTTATCTGACCTTGTAAAGGAAAAAAAAGATGAAGTAAATTCTCTACCTGAACATTAGGCCCTTAAGTGAAGAATCTTCTGTGAAAAAATTATTAACACAGACTTATTAAGCAAAGTATTTTAAACTGTACATTTGTGTGTAAGGGTGTGTGTGTGTGTGTTGCTAACTTGGGGACATAGAGAGTACAGAGCATTACTTAGAGCTACGTTTTTTTCAGTGTCTATATATGTACATGGACTTAAACATTAGACACTATGAGATATCACTAGATAAGATGACATTTCTGAAATAGTAGTAAGTCCTTACACACCCAGTTGTACCCTTTTTACAGGAAACGGTTCTCTTTTTGAAATCACATTATAGTGATTGTATCTTACAGGCATTTTATGTAAACAATAAGCTTTCAAAACAGATTTTTAAGAGTGTGATGTAGAACGAAAATTTAGTAGAGAAAGAGCAGAAATATTTGGTATATTAAATTAAAACAAATCACATAGTTTTTAAATTTTTCAAGTTCTTTTTTAAGTCCTCAAAATACAAGCATATTTTAAAATTTTTAATGTAATTTATTGACACTTTTTATCGTTGAGGTAAGTTGTTCCTGTTCTTTCAAGCATTGCCAATTCCATCAGTACTTTCATTAAATTATAAACTATATCAGCATTAGAAAAGGATGCAAATTGTTTATGTTAGGAAATGTTCCATAGATTTACATAAGCAATGCTTTGTAATGTCTATAAATTAAGTATAATATTTCTTTAATAAATGTGGGAAGTTTCCTTTCAAGTCAATAATTTAGCGACTTATGTTTCGGGCTCTTAGGGCTTAGTGCTCTTGATGCTTCTGTTTCCTCATTTGGGAACCAAAGTGTCCTGGAAATATTTCCTTGCATAGCATGTTTGGTTGCTAAAGGGAGGAAAGCTGCTCAACACATACTCGGTTCCTTATGTCCCTCAGGCCGAGTGGCTTAATGGCATGGCAGCAATGCTTTTATTTTTCAAGCCTACTTTTAGAAAATTTAAAAAAGACCACTTTTCCCCCAAAAGTTTTTAATCTGATAATATTATGACTGTTAATAGGTATGGCAATAGATAGCATCTCTTGAATAACCCATTATGCAAAAACCAGAACTAATCCTAGTTGGTAGATATCTGCCCTAGGCAGAATATTGGCCCCCCAAAATGTCTATGCTCTAATCTGTAGAATCTGTTATTTTACATAGCAAAGGGGAATGAAGGATGCTAATCATCTGACCTTGAGATGAGATTATTCTGGATTATTTTGGTACACTGGGTGTAATTGCATGGCCCTTAAAAGTGAAAAAGCAAAAAAAAACACTTTTAAGTTTATTTGATGCAAAGCATACCGCTGCAAAAAGTTCATTTCGCTTTCCTGATCAGATCTGTAAGAGTTCAGTGCTAGCTTCTTTCTGTATGACTCCCAAATTATATTAATTGTCACCGATACTTGGCCCTTTCAGTTATGGGGTTCTTAAAAATATTTTATTGGGCCGGCCGAGTGGCGTGATGGTTAAGAACTGGCTTGGGACGCCAGAGGGCCCAGGTTCGGATCCCATATATGAGGGCCAGTGACACTGCCCTCCACAGCTAAGATGCTGAACAACAGCTCAACCTGGAGCTGGGCTGCCGTGAGTCGCCTGCGACGGCGTAGGCTGCAGCCCCTGTGGCAGTGGGTTGCCATGGGCTACCGTGTGTAGCCAGCAGCCAGCGTGAGCGGCCAGCAGCCTCCGTGAGTGGCCAGCAGCCTCCGTGAGCGGCCGTCCAGAAGCCAGTGACTGATCTGCCTCGCCCGGGAAGAGCGCAATGATGGTGCCAACTTGGGCCAGTGAAGCAACGTCCTCCACAACTAGACTGAAGAACAAAACGACAGCAACTTGTCTGTTCCTCTTCCCCCAATTCCCCAGCGCTGTTCCCATCCCCCAATTCCCCAATTTAAAAAAATAAAAAAATAAAAATTTTATTGTAAGTACAGATGGGATAAAGTTCATGTATAAAGAGGCATTTAACCTCTATGCCACTAAACTCTCACATTTTATTTTTCTTTGTCTCTACTGTATTCTGTAATTCTTCAGAGCTCTCTAACAGTTTTGTTTAACTTTCTCTCCAGTGCTAATCTGTTGTTTTACCTGCCATTTATAGGTTTGATTGTGACAATTAACTGTCCACTTCAAAGTATAATTTTCATTAATTTCTTGTTGCTTGGTTGTTTTTCATTCCATCTCCTTTCTTTATATATTTCATGTAGCATTCCTCAGCATTCTATTATATATCTGAACGTTCCAATATCTGTACTCTGAACGGGTTAAATATATTGATTGGGGTTGTTTCTCTTGACTCACTTCTAGTGGCTATTTCCTTTTATTTGAAGGTATTTATTCTGTGGGATCTTCTCTTTTTTCCCTTCCTTCTCTGCCTCCCTCTCCTTCCTCTCTTTCCCCCTTGGGGATTTCCTTCATTTACTTGTATTGACATAAGAACATCCAAACCTGTAAAGAATTTTTATAAAAATGTATTTGAGCCAGAGGATATACCTAGAAGCAAGATCTCAACAGACTGAGAAAAATCCTTCTTAGATTGGAAGTTTGCAGCTTCTTTTATGCATTTGAAATTAAGGAGGGAAAGTACATAAAGGTTAGAGGAAGCAAGGTGGGATTGGATTGCAGGATATTTAACAAGATTATATGCTCTCTTGGCTGGTGGTTTAGATTCTGAGGGGCCTGAAAAGAGGCTTTTCAAAGGTATGTTAACTTAGATGCACTGAAACAATGGACATGGCTTGCTTAAAGCAAGATAAGCCTTTTACTAAAGCAGTTGTATGCCTGTGGTGTGGCAACCCACCATGACCTGCCCAGTTAGGGATTTATGACCAGATCACCCTGTGAGATTACTTCCTTAGAATCCCTTTTTTGAACATACTTGTGAGCCCAACAGTACATTATAGTTTTTTTTATTGCATATATTTTACGCATGATCAGCTTATATGGTGGCAAGAGTTCCTTCAAAGTACCTAGTATCTTAACCATAGTGGTGGGATGTGAAGTATTATGCAAATGTTTCCTCAAGAGAGATTTGTATTTGATTTTGCTGGAAGCCCTGGTGTGCTACCAAAGAGGACGAAGTTAGTACCATTCAGTGGTCCCAGCTTAATGCTGAAGCCCTAGGTTCAGTTTTTCTATGTTTAAAGGGATGAACATTTAGATTCCGGATCCCAGTGTTGGTATCATTCTTAGCCCAGACAGCAACCTGGCTTTGGTATATGCTTAATGCGCATCCTTCCTTGCTCTGTTCTCAACGCTTTCCTTCCTCTTTTCCTCCCTCTTTTCTTCCCTCCCTCCCTCCCTCCCTTTCTCCTCCCTTTTTTCCTCCCTGCTTGAAGATTTCCTTTATTATTTCTTATGTGTCCAACAATGCATTACAATTTTGTCTTGTATTTTATCCAAGTGTGGCATGAGTCCCTTCAGAGTATCTAGTATCTCACTATAGTGGTGGAAGTGAAAAGTACTCAGATCTAGCAATCACTGTGAACCCATTTAGGTTTTTTTTTCTCATTGAGAATAATAGGTAGAATGAAATATTCAATAATTTAGAAGCAATATTTCAAGCATTCACAATCCACATTCAATTTCAAATCTCAAATCTTAAAAGAGGATAGCAGAAATTCATCAATAAATCCAAATAACTTCTCTATATAAAGAAAAACTACTGGCTAATTATGTTTTACATGCAGTAATTGTTTCTTCTCTGGAGAAAAAAAGATATTAAACACATCTGTAGTGCTGTAAATATACTAACTGTGTTTTGGGATTTAACAGGTTCAAAGGACTATAGCTAAGCAGATTCAGATGGTGAAACAGATTGGAAAAGGTCGCTATGGGGAAGTTTGGATGGGAAAGTGGCGTGGCGAAAAGGTAGCTGTGAAAGTGTTCTTCACCACAGAGGAAGCCAGCTGGTTCCGAGAGACAGAAATATATCAGACGGTGTTGATGAGGCACGAAAACATTTTGGGTGAGTCCGTATAGCAATGTTCAGGGTTTCTTAGCTTTCCTCTAGTTTTCTGTTAACATCTGCATATTAACTTATCTGTCTAGACCCATTATGAAATATATAGACATTTTCTTCTTGGCCTGAGGCCAAGCACATCATAAGCTTCTAGTGGGAGACATCACAGGAGGAATGACTAAGAGACGTCTATGAATGAATGGAGAGCTGGAAATGGAGTACTCGCCAATACTTTTTTTCTTGAGGAACAGGAAATGCAAATATAATACCAACATTTCTTAGGGTTTCTTAGGGATTTGAAGGAGCACATTTTTCTTTAAATGTTGTGAAAAGTACCCGAATTTATCTGCCGGGTTTATTTCTATCCAGAGTTTATATGGATAATTGATTTCCTTTTTATTTTCTGAAGTTAGAAATGATCTAGCTAGATCATGCAAGTGGAAAGGGTGTAAGCTAATCTAAAATGTGTGCTTTGACAAGTCCCTGTTGTGTAGAGTGTCCTATGTATAACTATAATGCCATGAACTATTTACTGTTAAGTTAAACTTAATTTAAATATCAACAACTGAAATTTTCCATTTCAGTACAAACTGAATGTTTCTCTACTCCTTCTGTTTTGATTGCCTCTGATTGGTATTAGTAATTGCATATTGTCATAGGCATAATCAGAAAACTGAACAAAATGCTAAACAAAAGACACCTCTGACATAGAATGCTAGTTGAGAATATGAATTATTGCTGATAATATTCACAATACACTTAGCTCCAACCTTTTTGTCTTTTTTTCTTTTAGGGTTCATTGCAGCAGATATCAAAGGGACAGGGTCCTGGACCCAATTGTACCTAATCACAGACTATCATGAAAATGGCTCCCTCTATGATTATCTGAAGTCCACCACCCTAGATACCAAATCCATGCTGAAGTTAGCCTATTCTTCTGTCAGTGGCCTATGTCATTTACACACTGAAATCTTTAGTACTCAAGGCAAACCAGCAATTGCCCATCGAGATCTGAAAAGTAAGAACATCCTGGTGAAGAAAAATGGAACTTGCTGTATAGCCGACCTGGGCCTGGCTGTTAAATTTATTAGGTTAGTATCAAGGTGAACAAGTATGTTTTTATGATTCTTTTTTTTTTTCAGTTTCTATAGATTATACAGTTTGTAGTTCAGTGCTTTAGTAGAGGAGGAATTTTATTAATTTTGACCTTTCTTGAGAAAGAAAAAGAATATTTTATTTGCAACACATAGTGTTTCTGTCAATCCTATTGTGTCTGTGCTAATCGGTGTCCTGGCTTTGAAACAGTGTTAGACTATGAGGCTCATAGCTGCCATGAAGCTATTGAGGAAAGAGGTAGCTAATGTCTGGGATTATTTGGTCAGAATTCTGAATAACATTTGAAAGTAGGAAAGGTTTTAGGAATGATCTATAGGATATGTAGTGATAAGGGCAATGTTTTTATGTGATAGAAGAAAGATAACTTGCACAGGTGTTCTGTGAGAAATGTTAGAAGCTAATAAACCAAAAGCAGCCAGTATTCAGCACTACTATATTGTAACGTGAGCAGTGACTCTAACACCTGGATCTATAAATTAGTACATCCTACAAAATAGAGCTTTTCAGAGCCCTGGAGGTTTCTTGGAGTGATGTCAATAGCTTACACAGAATACGGAGGCAGAATGCTGGATAGTTGGGACTCCATTTTGCTTACCCTCACTCTCATCAGAGCAGCCCCTTTTATTTTGCAGGTGATTTAATTAGGAAAAAATGGTACCTCTACTTTGAAAATAAAACAAAGTGAGCTTACAAACCACTGGCAGACAGGGATCATCATATAACTACCTTTTTTAAAACTCAGTTTAGGCTTAGCCTTTATTAAATTGTTGGACCCTCTTGTGGAATTTTTTTTTGAAAGGATAAGAAAAAGATCCCAAGGAAAAAGCCATGGAGGTGATTAAAAGTTTGGAAAATAAAATTCACAAGAAGGACTACTGGAGCCATATTTTCACCCAGAAGTGAAGACTGAGCTGTGATTTAAAAATAGTCCCCAAATATAGGAAGGTCTTCACCATTTCGAGGATGGCTAATTGAAATTCTTGATCTTTAAAAACAAAACAGGAGGAAATTATTTGGACTGTAGATTTAAGTTAGAAATGTGAACCCCCTGCCCATAAAGATGATTAAATCCTTTCTGTTCTGAATTCTTTTTTTTTTACCTACAACCATTTTCAAGCCTCCTTTACACAAAAAAATTCTCAGTTTGCTTCTCAAATTACCACCCTCTCTCCTTTCCTCCCCTTTTAAATTTCTCAAGAGTTCTAAAGAGTAGTCTGCTTTCACAATCCAGAAATTTATAATATCTTGTAATTTGGTTTCTGCTCCTTTCTCTCCTGGAACTCCTTTATTGAGGGACACCATTGATCTTAGTCACCGTAAGGCTTTCTAATTGTCACTCCCCTTTACACAGCACCTAAGCTTCTCTGCCTTCTGTTTTCATGATGTGCCTTTTTATCCCAGGTTCACCTTCTTTCTCTAGAGGTTCTGCTCTTTGTCTACTTTTTAAGTATTTCCCCACTGCTAGATTTTCTACCATATCTGCTTTAACTTCCTAGTTCCCAATTTTGATTGATCCATTCTAAAATGTGAGGTGTCTGACATTTCCTTTGTTCCTTAAGTTTTTTGTTTCTCATTTGGATGAATTTTGTCTCCATGATATTCCTACTTGAACTGGGTCAGTTTGGGTCCTCTCTACCATTTTTCTAGGTTCTGGAGTAAAGCATTTTGTACTTATTTCCCCTTTGTCTTTCCTATTTCTAATTTTTTCTATATGCTGCCAAGTTAACTTTCTCGAAGCATAATTTTGGACATCATAATAATTTTATAGTTCCCTAAAACGTTGAGTTAAAATGTAGTTTCTATTCTGAGCACTTTATACTTTGTCACCACCTTCAAGTATTTTTAAGATGCTTTTATCTTTACCTGAATACCCAACATCCCCTCTTCTATTTAGATAACTACTACTAATCTGCACAGTTTCTTCCTTTGGGGCACCTATTATTCCCCTACAAGTCTGACTTTAAGTTAGTCTTCTTATATCCTCCCATGTGACCCTGTGCATACCCTCATGGCATTTCTCCCAGTGTTATATAGTAATCATTGATCACTTACCCATCACTCTCATTGGAGACTAAGCTCTGTGAAGGTAGATGCCATGTTTTTCTCAAATTTGCATCTCTAGTCCCTTTCCTTGGTGCCCATTACTTAGGTGTTGCTTCAAAATCTTATGTAATGGATAAAGGAATGATTCCATGTGTACAGCATGATGAAGATAAAAAGCACCTTTACTTAGCTCCAGAGATCCTACACACTCTGGATTAAGTCCACCTTTCCAGTTTTATATCCCACAGACTCTCCAACTTGTATGCTTTCTTTTGCAAGAAAGAAAACTAAGCTACTTTTTTCCCATATATATTCATGTTTGCTACTGTCTTGCTGTTCATGGCACAGCCTCTAGCTTGGAAGCCCTTGTTTCTCCATGTACCTAAATCCAATCTCAGAGTTGCCTTTAAGTCACTTTACTCATCCCCCAGCTAGGAATAATGACATCATTTTTTCTAGTCCTGTAGTAATTTCCTGGCCCTCGTCTGAAGATATTATAATTATTTTAGTACATGCCTCATCTTTTCTACTAGTCATTGGGCAGCTTGAGAGCAGGATCCATGCCAAATTAATTAATGTATTTACCATTTGACATGCCATAGTGAGTTACCCATTATAGGTATTCTAACATTGTTTTGAATCAATAAATGTGGACTATATAAAAGTAATTGAGAACTCATCTTCTTTATAGACCTTAAAAAAAAGCAAGGAAAGTGAATATCTATAACATTTCTGAAATGTAGCCTGTTTAATATAAGGAGAAGGAACTGAATGACCTCTTAAATTTCATGCAAACCCTGATTCTAGGAAGTGGAGGGGACTACTTTAAGGGGTAATGCAGAGATTTATTTGTCAAAAAGGACTAGTTCATCAAGAGCGGGAAGACCTGAGAACACTGGCTGAGATGGACAACTGTTTGGCGGCTGTGGGATGCACAAGTCTCAAATGGCTAAAGAGTAGCTCTGGAACCATTCACCATTCTGGGCCTCACTTTCCTCTTCTGTTCAACGGAGGTTGTATTTGTTAATTTCAGATGTCTTTTTCATATTTTTATTTTCTATGTTTCAAAGGAACTTTGTTCTTCTCAATTTTTGATCCTCACTTTAAAACCTTGCTTTATATGTTTCTTTGGCTTCCACTGTCTCCCTGACTTTCGTATTTTTGGGGTGTGTGTCTGTGCGTGTGCACACACACAAGTATTTAAAGCGTTTTATTACAAATGGGGTCACAGCTAACCCAGTTTTCAGACTGCTTATGTGACCTTCCTGTGAGAACTTAAGCTTTACTCTGGTTTCTGCATGGTAAGTGCTCCCTCAGGCTTTTAAGTCATCTCTGGGAGGTTCCCAGAGAAGTTGAGAGGTACAGAGATAGCAGACTATGCTTTAGAGATTTCCTGCTCACATACTTGTTTTTACACTGTATTCATTTCTTCTGCACACACTCTCTGGAAAATGATGTAAATGCTGATGCATTCATTTCTTGCCCAACAGAGATTTAATCCAGGTGATGCTGTGGCAGACATTATTACCATTACCCCAAATCTCTCTTTGGGAGGAGAAAACAATGACATGTGAAATCCCTTGAAGGAACTCAACAAAGCTTTTCACTTTTTACTCTAGAAGATCAAGCAGCCCCTCTGGTACTTCAGTGTCAGAATAATAAATTTTCCCTGTTTTCTTAGGGGGAAAGTAAATCCTGTCTTAGAGCCTCTTAGGTATTAAATTTTAAATAGAAATCTTATAATGAAGAGTGGGCTACAACACAGATCTCCCATTTGGTGATTGTCAAGTGCAAAATTGCCCGAGTGCAAAGCAGACAGTGGCCTAGCCCAGAAGGCACTGAATTTCCTCAGAGTCTTTCTGATGGCGCTATTTTTAGCACTGTGCCAGGTTTGTATGCTTAGTGGTTTTTGAAAAAACTGACATGGCTGACTTGCCAAAGTCACAGAACTAAGCTAATGAGCAACTGAGTCAGCCCTCCCATTCAAGGTTTCTTGAGCCATATCCACCGTCTTTTGAAGAGTTCAGTTCTGAAGTTCTGTGTCTAAGAACGCCTGAGGTTTTTCAGGATTTAATCATCGAAGCAATGAATCCTGTTGAAATATGCGGGAGGAAACTCCTTTTTGGTTAACATAGGACTGGGCAGAGTTCAGTGCAGCAAATCAGTTCCATAGCTACTTAAAAGATGCCCCAGGAAACACAAAGAGACATGCATAGCCCCTTCTTCCAAAGACTCCTGAGAATTGTTTGCTTTGTTAGATCTGGTCTTTCTAGGAGGTGATTTAATATTCTCCAGTATATGTCATGTGTGGTTGATTTCAAACACCAGTTATAAGCCACAAGCAAACCAATGGCCTCCCTCACATATCTTCTGCCCCCACCCTTCTTTCACTGTTCTTAAAAGTTCAGTTCTTACTTTTTAAAAAGCTTTTAGATTATGAAGGGTGTAAAATGTTTGTTTCTCCTCTTTCTTTATTCCCTTTTTATCTCCCTTCTTCCTCTCTCCCCTTTCCTGTCTGTTTTAGGCATCACAGCATCCAGCCGAAGACCCCCGCATGTGCCCAAGGGCTCAGTGAGGTAGAGCCACCTTGTTGGGGCCAGCAGTGCGAGTCCCAAGCTGGCTGTCATGACCACAGCGGGCTCTGCATGTGACTTTCACGAAAGTCTCCCTTCAGCTGATGGTCCAGTGGGAATGTCCACTGTGCTGAACCAAGCAGTGGCTTTTTCCTTTACATAACACTTGTAAAAATTCCTGCTATGGATATATAATGAAGCAGCTTAATTACCATGGAAAATATTGAATATAAAGCAAGGTTAAGACAGATATTACATTTTTAAATACCCCCTTCATTCCCTGCCACCAGTATCAAAATCTTTTGCTGCCCTTCATCCCGTGCGCGGTGCCGAGGGTATAAGGCATACCCGGCCCCGCT